TATGATATCACAAATGAATCATGGTATCGTGAACCTTGTCAAGTGTGTGGACAACCACTTGAACAGAAAGAAAATATTAGTTGGAACAATTATTGTTGTTCCACACCTTGTAAATATGCTTATTTAGCAATAATGAGTTCACAGACCTTTGAACATATTCCTACAAGGGTTTACCATTATCTTAATACTGGAAGAGGACAATATCACGAAGTTGATGAAAGTGAAGTGCTGGAAAAAGCACGGAACTTTTATATAAAATTAAACGGTGAACCTGAACCTGAACGATATAATGCTAGGATGAATAATAATCTTGAAACATGGAACAAAGCGAGAGATAGAGCTTATTTCGAAGCTCAGGAAGCAGTAGATTACCTATGGGAAAGTACTCTCACGTATTTAAATAACCATCATGATGAAGAATATATCTGGCGAATGAATGAATCTTTCAACAATAATAGAGAAGCTGCTATCGCTAGATTACCAACTATCCTAGATTTAACCGAGGATAATCGGTTAAAACTGGCAAAGTTTAATTTATGTCATAATTGCTATTTTCCATTTAGCAATGAAGACTTGAGACAAACTAACGATCGTAAATTTTTATGTATTAAAACAGATATGAATCCAGAACCATGTTGGATCGACCCCATAACAAATGAAATTACTAATATTGTCGAAGAAGCCCACGAAGTTTGTGAAAAGGATTTCGGAAAAGAAATCCTTCGACAAGAAGAAAATCAAAATTACTATTGTAAATGTTATGCAAAAACTTTTCTCACTGAAAAACAGAAGGCCCGGTATCATAGAAGAATATGTCGGGATGAGAGAAAGAAATTCTCATCAATTCAGAATTAGATTTTTATATAATACGCCTAAGTAATATAAAAACTTAGACTCAGTGAAAGTCTGAATAATCATGTATAAATTAATTATTAGTTATTATCTTATCATATATCTATTTATATTGTTTCTTATCTTGTTTGTTATTTATTTGTTTATTTATATTTTAATTAAAGTTTATAATCTTATTCTTAATTCGGAAAAAGTTAAATTAATTATTATTGTTACACTAGATAAG